GGAAGGTCAAAATCCAAACTCTGCTTTTTCTTATTTTTCATTTAGAAAAGGAACTTCAAGTTTTTCCAATCATCTTCAAATCTAAAATAACTTAATAACAATAATAATAATAAGCTACTCTGGTTGCAAAAAGTTATCCCAAACCCTGGGTGAACAAAGTGACAAAGGGAACCACCGCACTCCTGGGAAAGCTGTGCAAATCCAGGCATCCTGTCCCAAACCCTCCCATTTAAAGCAGGCAACAGCACCTGAACCAGGAAAATCCACTCCAATTTAAAACAGGTTCCAATACTAAGAGCAAGCAAGACAAAATATAATGGAACAAGAGAGGTTTGGAGCAACCTGGTCTATGGAAGTTGTCCCTGCCTATGGCAGGAGTGGGAACGAGATGAGCTTTAAGGTCCCTTCCAACCCAAACCATTCTGTGATTCCATGAAAAAAAATGCTCCCATCTTGTCCCTCTCCCATGGTCCAACCACCTTATCTCACACAGGAGGCTGCAAGTGAAGAACCTGCTGTAAATTAGCTGAATTTATGAGCTTTTTTTTTTTTTTAATGGTGAAAGTAGGCAAAACTGGTCATATTTACTCTCTGCTGTGGACAATATAAATTTAGACTTCAATTAAGCGATGGATACAGCACCACCTGAAAGGCCAAAGGAAAGGTGAATGTCTCTAAACTTGGACTGAGGGAGTATTAAAGGAATTCAAAGAGGTTTAACCAGAAATACGCTGTTTGAAGGTAATAAAGTGCCTGTACAGGGAAAACAGAAGAAGACCAGGTTGGATGGGGCTTGGAGCAAGCTGGGATAGTGGAAGGTATCTCTGCCCATGGCAGGGGGTAGAATAAGATGGTTTTTAAGGTCCCTTCCAACCCAAACCATTCTGGGATTCTGTGAGAAAGAAGATGACACAAGTCACCAAGACAGTGAAAGGGGAGAGAGAGAGGGCATGGAAGTCCAAGAAATAATTTAAATTATTATACTGAGAAGTCACTATTTCCCTGATTTTCTTATCTAGGCATCCAAACTGCAGTGAGGGAAGGGAGGAGAGCTGCTGGGAAAACCCTGGAGCAGAAAGTCGGGAAGATTTCATAAGGCTGGATCAAACCTAAGCTTCAGCCCTACACTGGATTGCTTTTTATTAGGGTGGAAACAGTATATATCCTATATTTGGGGACTGTAAAAACAACAGGTTCAGGTCAGAGCACTTCAGTATGGAAAAACCATTGGTAAACCAGGAAAAAATAGGATGATCAGGATGTGAAGGAGCTTGGATGGAAGATAAAAAGAAACTACCTGTGGAAGAAGCATTGAAGTCTGGGCAAATACCATGTGACAGATTTAGGACCAAGAATCAACTTGAAAGTGAATGATCAGAGCTGCTGGAGGAGGGACAGCTCAGAACACTCCACTGGAATTCCTTCAAGGAAATACAAGCCCCACAAAGGAAAGAAAGGAGATATCAGTTTAGCAAGAGGACTTGTGAGATATTTCTGAAGCACTCTGGCAATTGATGAAAAGATTTGTGGAAACCAGTTGCTTGAGGCACTGCAGCTGGAAAGAAACGGTGGTGACTGATCAAACTTGGTTCATGTTGAATGGTTTTGGGTAAAAGAGATTTATCAACAGAACTGGAACTTGGGTTACAGACATAAGGCACAACATGTTCTCTGATGGAAAGTTCTTGCTGCACAGAATCCCTGCAGAACTCGAATCTCTACAAATTACTCAATGTAACGAACAAGTTATAAAGGTAAAAGACAGATCCACTTCTTTGGAGTCACTGATTTATACAATTAAGGCCAGAAGGGACCAGTCTGTCACCTACAAGGAGATCCTGAATGTCAGGTGGCCTCCCACAATCCTCATGCAAACTCCCTGTTCCATAAACTTCATCCAAGGGGATGAATAAACTGTCCTGCCCTTCCAAATACAACAACAAAGAAGAAATAAAAATCCCCCAATTGAAGTTTCTGCCTTTTTCACATCATTCTTTAAAACTTGGCCATATATATCCAAAGGATTTATAAACATTCCCTCATCTCAAGAGCATTTATCTTCTCCAAGCACCTGGAGAAAGACTTAAAAAACTCTAAAGGAAGGAAGTGGTGTAGAATTAACCACTTCCTGCCCAATGAGCAGCTGTGCCAAGATAGAAATGTTTAATTAAACTGAAAGGCAACTCTCTCTCTGGGAGACCACCTAACACCTTCCAGTGCCTAAAGGGGCTCCAGGAGAGCTGGAGAGGGACTTGGGACAAGGGATGGAGGGACAGGACACAGGGAATGGCTTCCCACTGCCAGAGGGCAGGGAGAGATGGGATATGGGAAAGGAATTCTTGGCTGGAAGGGTGGTGAGGCCCTGGCACAGGTTGCCCAGAGAAGTTGTGGCTGCCCCTGGATCCCTGCAAGTGTCCAAGGCCAGGTGGGACAGGACTTGAAACAACCTGGGATAGTGGAAGATGTCCCTGCCCATGGCAGAGGGTGGGACCTTTAAGGTCCCTTCCAATCCAAACCATTCTGGGATTCTGCAACAAACTGAACAAGAGCATGGCTCAAACTCCTCAACTGTTTCAATTACCACATCAATAAAGATTCCGGGACGTTTCCTCTTCTCAAGGAGCAGTTACAGATTTTGTGCTGGGTCTTTCCCAACAATATGTGGAATTTCCTCTTCACCACTCTGACCTTAATGTACCTCCACCTAAACTCAGCCCCTTCCATCCAACACACTGAAAAGTGAGATGCTCCTGCTGCTGGTTTCCACTCCAAAATTCCATCAAACCTTTTAAAGAGAAGAACAGCTTGAATGTGTCAGGCAGAGTCCATGTCACTCTGGGCTTGAAAAGATCTGCTCACTTGCCATAATGCAGAAATGAAATGGAAAACCTGGTCAGTGAGTTGATACTCAGAATTCCTGGCTCTGGTTTGCTCCTGAAGGATGTTTTCAGCCCTGTCACTACAGCCCTGTCAAAGAGAGAGGCAGCAGAAACTTCACCAGCAGACTTAAAAAAAAATATATCCAAAGTCAAATGTGCTTTGAGGAATGGAATATATGCTTAATAATCTTAATGGAATATACTGGGTGAGAGATATTAATTAATAATTTACTTTCATTATCTCTTTGCCCTCCTCGAGCGATCTGATGGATAAACTGTGTAAGTAAAATGTATTTTTAAATCTCAAATGATGTCAAATATATCTCAGAAGGCTGAATTCAACCTCTTAATTAAAGAGGTGGGTTATTTAAGCTCCATGTGCCATCTCAGCGTTACATGGAAGACTTTAATTAGTTGAGGAGAGGGGAGAGGAGGGCAGGAAGCTGAATTGAGGCCAGTGACAGCAGCAAGTGAACACCTAAAAATGTATATTCTTGAAAAGAAGTTGTTCCCATTGGTACTGCAAGTCTAGTCCTGGAAGAACTGAAGTACCCACAGCTCTGCTCTGAACCACAGTGACACTGGGTGAGAGTCACACCAGGATTTCAGTGCAAAGAAGCTGAGAAGTAACTGGAAGATTCAAACAAGAGCTTGAGGAAGTTCCTAAAGTCATTTTAGTAAATTTGACTAAGAATCTCTTCACACACCAAAAAACCCCGGAAACCTGTCTGATAAGTGACTGCAGTGGGAGAACGGCACTATGGAAAAATCTGGTCAACTTGAGGGTAAAAATGGAGCTCAGGCTCTGCAGTGCTCAAGGGCCAACAAATATTCACTGAAACAGAATTAAAAGGCACAGAAAACCCTCTGGCAGATGTTTTTTGAGAATCTAGCAACTTGTCAGGGAAAAATGATGGTGTTATTTTGGGTCACCACCACACACCGCTGGTGAATGGCAGGGATGGTGTCCAGCCAAACCTGCAGGTGCAGGATATTCTGAGGTTTTTTAAGGAAAAGGGGAGCTTGGTCCTGTCCCTACAGTATGTTAATTGGGACAGCAGAGAGCTCGAGGACACCGTGGCAACAAGTGCTGGTGAGGCTTCCAAAGAGCCACCAGGAAGGGGAATTTGGAGGAGGACACAAGAGCCAGTTCCATTCCCTGTTCCAAGGGACCGGAGACCAAACGGTGCAGAGGTGACAACATGAGATGAGTTCAGTGGAGTTCATGGCTCACCTTCCTCAACTCTACAACCCCAAAACAACAAGGGGAGCTAAACCAGCCCCTGGGCAATCTGTCACATAACTAAACACCCTTTTTGTCTCCAAAACTCACTGAGAAGCGACACGTACATGGAGTGGGGAACGGAAAACCAGGAGAAGCAGCTTTGCATAGAAAACTGGCCTCAGCTCAGCCCCTGCTGTTGTAAGTCACCATTCATTTAGGTCATTATTTAAGTTTACAGAGGGTCTGTGTTCCAAGTGTCACTAATAACAGTGGTATTAAAGAGAATTAGGGGGCGGAGGATCTCCTGTTTTCAGTCACAGAAAAGACAGAAATCCTTTTAATCGCGACCATGCCAATCCCCAGCGTTCTAAAGCAGCTAATTACACGTCAGGGACACCCAGTCATTCAAAGGAGCTGCCATCACTTCTCCTGCCATACTCCCATGCATTTATCCTGCCCATCCCAATTACCCTGGCTGCAGTTTGAAAGGATTTAGCACAAGTGTGCTGGGTGTTTTGATCAGCAGGATACACCCGCTGCCATGGAACTGAGAGGGAATAAATGGCAGGGAGAGGCTCCTGCCAAGCCATCTGAGGAGGAGATGCACTGTACATACAGAAACATCAAAGCCCCATCACCAGCTCACTCCAGTTCAATGCTTTTGGTTCATTCCTGCTTAAGTTGTTGGCTGGAGCACTCCAGACCTTCCTGAAAGAATGGGATAGAGCCCAACACTGCAGCCATCCAACCCATTAGTTCATTTTCTGGATCAGCCTCATTAAAAGGGGCATTTAAAATGTTTTGTGAATTCTCCCCCTGCACTCCAAATAGCAAATCCTTTTCTATCTCTGGTAAGGTTTGGAGACTTGGCAGGGAGCCAGCTTCAAACCATCACAATCTCCATGACAGCTGTGGCTGACCCATCCCTGGAAGGGTCCAAGACCATGTTGGACGGCACTTGGAACAATCTGGGATAGTGGAAGGTGTCCGTGCCCATGGCAGGGCAGTGGAATGAGATGGTCTTTAAGGTCTTTAAGGTCTCTTTGCACCCAAACCACAATTCTTGGATGAAAGCCACATGAAAACAGGCAGGAACAAACAAATCCAGGCTATTTTTAAGTGACAAGGCCTCTGTCTCACTGGTGCCACTGACATAACTTCCATTGGTTTGATTTGATTTATATTTGTTGGACAAAAACCAACATCAAATCACTGTCATATTATTGACAGTCCTCAAAACACCCAACCCAGCTCTTCTAGTTATAACGTATTTCTCACAAAGAAGATAATTTCTGTGTATTTCAAATTTGGACTTGTAGCTGCCATCTCCAGAAAGCCTCTGGTTTTCATCAATGTGCAACATCTTTAGTCAGACAGTTTAAACCCCATAAATTTGACAACAGTAGGAGAGGCTAAACCGAAGGTTTTAGGGTTGTGCCAAATGCCTGTTGGCCAAGAACTGCTCCAATATCCTGAGTAAATATCCCAGCTGCTAAAAAGCCCAACAGGGAATGCTCTAGTTTGAAATGCCTCTGTAACTCTTTTTGGGAACTGCGAGGTACTTTCTGGTCAGGCCATCAACATTCCCTTCCAAGGGATCACAGTGAAAAACTCCATTAAAATGGCTGGGATCAGGATACAGCCCTGACTGCTGCCACAAACACACACCAAATCTGGGCCATCAACACATATTAAGGTCACTGACAAGGAACACAGTTTTAAGACCAATCCTGCCACCAAAGATTCCTGCCAAAAGCTACCCCAAACCAAAGACTATTGCCTGTGAGCTTAAGACTTTGATCAAAATAACATTATCAAGTTAAATAACTTCAGAGTGCAAGGCTTGAAATAAGAGCAAAGTTTATTTTAACAAAAACTCCTAAAATCTGCTGGTTAATTATTCAGTGAGTTTGAAAGAAGCTGATGAGCACTGGGAGGTGAGGGCTGCATCATGATGGAGCTGGGCTGGGAGGAGGAACATAAACCTTCTGCTAAGAAAATTATTAACTAAAACAAGCTCAATTCTGGGGATAAAAAGGGTGGTGGTGGGGGAATCTTTTCCAACTGAACATCCACAGCTCAGGATTATGGGCAAAATCCCACACTGAATCTTAGTAATTTGCAGGGAAAAGTGTGACTCCAGCTTTGGACTGGAGTTAAGCTCACACCCAGGGAACCACACTCCTGCATTAAGGCAGCAATTAATTTTGAGTTTTGGAAATTCTTACACCAATTTTAGTGGGTTTATCTATATGAAAAATCAAACCTTTTTCTTTATGAAACCCTGTTACAAGTACCATGGGTCTTTTTTCTAGCAGTGGCCAACAGCAAACACTTAAGGAAAGAGGATCCAAGTAATTATAATGTGACTTTTTCCCCGTCAAACCCTTTCAGCTTCTGATAATCATCAATTTGTGATTTACTGACCCAGAATTTGTAGCTTATCACAGTAGTCACCAGTGGGCTTAAATTAACCACAATTTCTCCTCCAATACGTTCAACTATGTGGAATTTTTCAGCAGCAAGACAAGGATGAACCCTCACAAATGAAGGCAAAAACTGATCTACAAATCACAAATGTTACAAAAACATGAAAAACTTACCAGTCTTATGTGAGGCAATGAAACAAACAGAGTTAAGTCAAATATCCCTGAAGAACTGTGTAAACAGAGCAAATAATTAATGAAAGTTCTAACTTATGGCTTGACTGGAGCCTGGAGCCAGACCCTGCAAATAAAGCTCCTCTCTATTAGTAAACTAGAAAAGTTAACTTTTGTGAACAGCAAAACAGAAAAAAAAAAACCAAAACAACAAATTAAGAGGATTTCTTTTAACAAGTCAACATGTATAAATCAGAACTAGGGAACAGCCCAACCTGAGCAGCTCTGTACAGAATCATAGAATAATTCTGGTCAGAAGAGACCTCTGGAGGTCTCTAATCCAACCCTGTCCAGTTGAGTTTTGAATATCCCCAAGGATGGGAATTCTACTGCCTTTTCGGGTTGTTGTTCTGCCCCTCTGAGTAGGAAAATATTTCTCTTTATATTCATCTGGGATTTTCTTTGACGCGACTTTAGCCCTCTGCCCCTCACGTCTTTGCCGTGCCCTTCTGAGAAGAGCCTGGCTCTGCCTCCCCTGGAACCACAGAGTATCCTGAGTTGGAAGGGACCCATGAGGATCACTGAAGTCCAACTCCTGACCCTGCACAGGCTCCCCAGTTAAAACCAACCTATGAAAACAGTCAAAAACCAAAATATGGGACGTCCCCAGAGCCAGCCTGGACAAACCCAGCTCTTACGATCTCCCTCCACATAATTTGTGCTCCAATCCTTACACCTTCTGCCCACACAAGGGACCCACAAATGCTGGACAGAAGGATCTAATCCCTTTCCACGACCATCTGAAGGCTCTTAATGAGGTCTCTTAATTGCTACAAGGGTGCATTGCTGACTCATAGCCAACACATCAGTAATGGGATTTCATTATAATCATACGTATGTTTATAGACTATTCAGAAGACCAAAAGAAACAAGTCTGCTGATTTTTATCAATTCATAATGCTTTTGCAAACGTTTGGGATCTCATACTTCAGGAGAAAAAGGGAATTAAAAAAACAATCCATAAAAAAAGTGGAGGTAGAAATTGTTGTTTTAAGAAGACGGTAAGAGACAACAACTCAAGTATAAGGACTTTATGAGGGAAAAAGTAACAGCCAGAACTTACCCTATGAAGTTAAAAGCAACCTGTGCCCACCATAGTGGAGGAGCATCTTAAATAATTTCTTCTCTATTCACAGAACAAAAAGGTAGATCTGGTCTTCCACCAGACCCACTTCAAGGGAACCCACACAAGAACAAACTGCAGTAACTCCAGACTGGCTACAACAAACCACAACTGAATTGCAATGCTATAAAAACGAAGCTTAATTTCCAAGGAAGTCCAGAGACAGAAAGACAAAGAAGAGTCCTATAACATGGAAAAAACCCAGAAGAAAGGCTAAATTCCAGGAGACACTCTCCACCAATTTTTTCACTTACACCAGATCACATTCACTTCTCCTGGTACCATCACACCAGCATCTGTTCCATCCTGGCTAATTAATGTCAAACCAAAAGGTAATTCACCAACTGCAAATTGCTCACTGCGATCTTCCAAAATCAAGAAAACAGCCTTCCACAAAGACCCCGGGAACAGCCGAGCTCTCACTCCTGTCTTGTACCTCTTGACACATAAAGAAAAGCCAAAGCAGACAGAAACACCCAAACACTGACACCACAAAACCAAGTGTCTGATTCCCCAGTTATTTGTTGTTTCCTCTGGTAAGATGATGATGTGGGAAAGCAGAAAACTGGGATTTACCAGGAACCTGCAGCCAAGGAGGATCTGCCCCTCTGTAGTCACTCACCAGGGGTTTGTTTACCTGTTTAACCTTCAGAGAGGATATTGGTGCATCATGTCAGCGGCTTCCTGACAGTGACAAACAGAATTAAGACCAGATAATTCTACATTTGATGGTACAGACATACAGTTCCAGTGGTGTTACTCTGATCCTGCATCACATGAACCTATAATCAGGATACACAAGTCCTAATACTATTTTCATTCTCCTCTATTGCTTTAAAAAGGCAACGCCTCAAACAATGACTTTTTTTTTTCTTTTACAGATACTATAGTAAGCAATATTTCTTTCAAAATTGCAGCTGTCCAGCACTTTGAGTCTGTTCTTTTTAAAATGAAACAGCCAGAACAAATGGTGGTGGCAAGACCAACGTAAAGAGGTCATCGATTATTAAAATCTCCTTACTATAAATCGTGGATGTTGCTTGTCAGCTTGGTGTGTGACTGTGGAATGAATAAGTAGGTAAAATTCCACTAAGGCTCGAGTTTGCTCGATCATTCTGCTGTGCAAAAATAGAAATAAAAGCTCTCCCCGTCCTTTCACTCCTTAGTACCAAAACATTCATACAAAGCAGTGAGAAAAGAACTGCAGTGGTGCAACGTTGCTGATCCCAGTCCTGCCTTTCCTGAGTCCACCCTGGTGCTACTTATGAATTTGCCTACTCGAGAAATGCAATAAAACAGAAAAAAAAAAGACGGTTTCATTCTGCTTCAGTGATCTATATCCAAGGAAAGCACATAAATTTTCCAATGAAATCCATAAGTGAGAGTTGAGGCCAAGCCCTACCTATATATCTTCAAAGGTACAGAGACAAAGAGGTGCCAACCCGGTGCCCTCTGAAAGCACAAAATCTCCTCCACACTCGGGTCAGCAGTTTTCCCCAGATTAACAGATGTAAAGCTGATCTCGTCAGCCTGTGCCTGGAGGGGTTTGGGCTGGCCAAAAACCTGCTGAGCAGCCACATTTTAGGGGTTCACGATGCTCTCTGAGAGTTTAGAGTGAGGAAGGGATGAGAACAAGGCGAGTAACAGCAACTTCCCTTCGTTCCCTCTGCCTCCAAAGTGGGAGAGAAAAGGGAAGCCCATCCCTCAGAGTGAGCTGTTTTCCTCTTTTTTTTTTTTTAAGCTATTCCCACATAAACTGGGAAGGTAAAATGGAATGTCGAGGAAACGCTGTGGAGATTTTTATACATCTCTCGTACAAAAATTTCCACGGGTTTTTAATTTTTTTTTTCCTTGTTAACGTTTTTCTTGCCCGTCTCTAACACTTCCCGTGCTGTTTCCATCAAAATGTTTCCTCTTACCGGCAGCAACATATCATTTTATCAGGATGCCAGGAGATCATTTCCACACAATGTTAGCAGATGTAATTTTCTTAGATGCACACACAGTTCATCATTTAGATACTAAGATGACAAGGTGATCGCAGGGTGACTCTGCAATGCAAGTTTGCTGTTTGGTATTTGGAATTCTCAAATGATAAAAAAAAGACTTATCAAATATAAATATCTTTAAGAAAAAAGTAACAAAAGTGCTACATATGATCAAGGAAAACAATTCCATTAGTTCCTGCTACTTAAAGTAGGTTTGCTTTACAAATATTACCACATCCATTATCAGTATGGCTTCCAATTATTAATTAAATTGCTCGTAGCAGTATAGCTTTCTCACACCTTAACAAAGACAGAGTAAAGAGAACACAAAACATTCACACCCCATTTCTCAGGTAAGAGATCCTCCTGCCTTTAAACAAAAAAAAAGTTCATATTTAGGAGAATATTTATGCTCTGAGGGTTTCTCTAGCAAAGGTCAGGTGTCAAAGTTCTCCAATAACCTTTCAGGCTACTCAGGACGTAGGCATCGGTTACACAGATGTGTAAAAATCCACTCACCCATTTTATGACCTTAACAACCTTCCTGGAAAACATTGCTTTCGAAAGTGGCAAAGTGGAGAGGGGAGGGGGGTGGGGACAGAGAAGGCGAGAGGAGGAATAAAAGGTGAAATAGTTAATGACAGATCAATAAGAGTCTAGACCTCTTCTGAGCAGGCACTGCCAGCCATGCCAAAAAGGAATAGTGGTTCTGAGAAGTGGACTGTTGTCCATTAGACATTCAGCTCATTTGTCATTTGATCCCAGGCTGGGCTTCAACCCATGGTCCCAGAGGCAGAAGGCAGCACTTCTCCACTAAGCCACGCAGCTTGTGAGAGCAGAGGATGTCTGTGTTGAATATGTGAACGTCAACGGAAAATATGGGAATGTGTTTCCAATGGACATTCTCAGCACAGCACCCAAAAGTAGATCAAGTCACTGTATGACCAGTGAGGCACGGCTTATTGCAGCTGGAAATCATTTATTCCCAGGCTGAAGTGGGGGTTCTAAGTGTTCTTTTTACTCTCTGTTGATGCTCCCAGTGTGGTGTCCATCGACCCTGTGCCACTACCTCAGCTTGCATCCTTTCAGTCTCAGGGAAGGGAAAGCGTACGGACTATTGTTTCAACACGACCTCTAAGGTTATCCAAGGTTTTTAAGTGTAGCCTAAGACTTGGAATCGAGGGCTGTCTAAAATACCTGGAAGCACTTTGAATGCTAAGACAGAGCAGCAAGATTTTTTTTTTTTTGATTTTTTTTTGATTTTTTTTGTTTTTTTTTTCTAGCCACTTGGGGCCGGGAGAGGGGAGGTTGGTTGGTTGATTGATTATTTATTGGGAATTAATACTGAGAGAGTATATGCAAAGGCTGAGGGCACCATGCCATCTTCACAGAACAAGACCCTAACAGCTAAACTGACGTACAAGAAACTGCAAAGTTATACTGTAAGAACACATATTAAGGACCGAGGAAAGTCTGCTAAGGTGCTACGTCTAAAACTAAGTTACTTCTTGCTTTGACCCTCCCCTCTCTTTGTATCAGTCGTCGTCGAGAGCCTCTGTCTTGATCTCGTTGGCTCCTTGCCGGGCCAGTGCCAGGATGGTGTGGTTGACTGCTGCCATCTCCACGGCTAAGGAAATGGGGTCTTGGTGGTCACTATGGCTAGTGCTGTCATCCTGGGAATGTGGGAAGGAGGAGAGAGAAGCAGGGTTATTCCACAGGTAGGAAATCGGTGGGTAAAACGAGTGTGTCCAGTAATGAGCTACGGGGCAGGGGACTGCTGGTTATGGGGGCAGAAAGTGAATTTACAAAGTGGGTTTAGGATTGATTTCCCTCACTGTGCAGACAAAGGAGTGGGGGACCCACCTTTCAAAGAAAATATTAGATGATAAAGATAGAAGTGATACACAAAGTCAGTCGGGAAACCAAATTAAGACAGGAATCATTAGGCACTGCACAAATTCATGGTTGTATTTGGAACAGACAGTTCTGGGCATCCCCACCCGTGGCAGGGGTTGGAACAAGAGGAGTTTTAAGGTTCCTTCCAACCCAAACCATTCTGGGATTCTCGGATTCTATTTAGAGGACACAACAGAACCAGAAAGGCAGAGAGAAGAACATCCCAGGGAAGAGGCAGGAGGTGGCTTCTTCACCAGGAGAGGTTGAACAGACTCAGGTCCTCCAGTTTGGGAAAGAAATGGCTGATGGTTGATATGGTAAATGTTTATTACAAATAACTAGGAAACAGAGAACAATTGTTCTTGGCTTCTTTATGATTTCACAAGCAAAGGCACCCACTGGAATGTGTTCCAGAGTACTGCTTCACTTAGTTCAGTTTGGGATTCATTCATTTTTAGGTCAGACACAAATAAAACTGGCTTTAAAAGGCAGGGGTTAAAAAAGATCCAGGGAAAATTATTCTACTAAAAAGTAGGAAAAATGAAAGTGGATGCATGGCCTGGCTCAGGAAGCCTCTCAGAAGTACTGACTTCCACAAGCTCGAAGCTACTACAACGAAATAATTCTATATGTACTTTAAAAGTACTTTTTCTTTAAATATTACTATTGACCTTGCTCAGAGCCAGGATACAAACCCAGCCTAACCCAGTATCCTGTGAAGACACTGAATTCTCACAGGTATAAGGAAAAAGATGCTGAAAAACTCCTGGGTTGCCAAGAAAACAAAGGGAATGACTGTGGGGGACTGGAACCACCATAATTCAAATATGGCACTTGGGGTAAAATCATGTTTTCCCCTTTTTAAAACAGGATACTAATAGTTATCACACAGTTTTAAAATTATGAATTAGGGAAAGGAAATGAGAAACGTTTCTCAGACTCCCAACAGCCTTTAAGTGGTGAACTTGTGAGATTTAAAATAAAATGAAGATGACAGATGGCAAATGTTGAGGAGGACAAAAAAACCCAGGATTTGGTAAAATCCTGATGTTATTTAAAAGAATGCATTAATTTACAACAAGTGTCTGGTAAACACTATGATGTGCACACACCCTAAGGGCCTCTCAGTAATCTGCAGAAATACAGAGCCCTTAGTTCTGGAGTTTAAGGCACTTTGTTAGGATTTGAATGAACTTTGTGTTTTAAATTTTATTAGAGTTTCAGTGTTGTTGTGGAAAACAGAATTTCTGGTTTTAACAGCTCAGGGATGTTAAATGGTCATCGGGAGAACTTCCATTTAATCCTCTTTGCTGCTAATGTCCAATTACAGCTCACAGAGGAGCCCAGCCAGATTACTGAGAAATGTCATTTTTAAGGCCTCTAAACAAAGATCTTTAAATTTTAATAACCAATTTATCACTCTTTTCAAAGTATTTTGGTTAATGCACAGAAGAAAAACACAGCTGGGGAGTTTACACCACGTTTCACCTCAGCATTCCAGTCCTGTTTCTGACTGACAGGGAATTATCTGTGCTCAGAGCACTTTCTAAATATTTCATGACAGTCACAGAGCAGCTTCTCCTCATCCAGAGCCAGAAAAGTTGGTTCCACCAAATCTGCTGGTGATGACCTATAAAAAGGGCTTTAATACCCATCAGCAGCAGAGCAGCTGGGGATGCCTGTGCCAGATATTCCTTGTACTGGGCCACAGCCAAGTGTGTGAGGGACTCATTCCAGGACACTCAGCAGCAATTACACTCCACCAGCAGCTTTTGGAGAGGGAGAGCTACTTAATTCTCCCCCAAAAGAGTCAATGGGAAGTGATGTGCCCACCCTAGATGTTGTGGCAGCACATAATCATTTCATTTCAAAACTAAGAGAAAACTGGTGGAATCCACTGGTGCCAAACACAAACACAGCCCTAGGGGGGTTTGGCCAACACTGGAGGAAAATTGGGAAGGGGGTGCAATACCTGTCAGGAAGGTGTGTGAAGGAAGGGTCACCAACTTTAGGGTAGGTGAGGGCTCAGAGTGCGGGAAGGGGTATTCTTTTGCTAGAGAATTTAAAAAAGAAGTTGCTGTCAAGGGTTAAAAATAACCAAGAAAAGAGAGAATAGGCAAGAATTAAAATGCAAAAACGAACAAAAAAAAAGAAGACAGGTAATACGTAAACAATCCAAATAGTGGCACATTGCTGCAGAACAATAGGGAATAGGCCATATAAAGGTCAGACTTAACCAAATCCTTTCCCCCCACCCTTCACCCTTTGTCTGTCAGTGTCTTAGGGATGGATCTTGAGATGCTCCTGAAAGGTTCCCCCACAAAACAAGCAGAGGGAGCTCAGGACCTTCCAGGAGTGTGCTCAGTGCTCATTTTCTTGCTGGGGAAGGCTGACACAGGGAATGTAAAGTGTCCTGGGCACAGTGTCTGGGGTCAGATCAGCTGCTCACAGCAGCTGTAGCCCAGGTCAGAACAGGGCATTTCTTGCAGAAATAAAGAAAAGGTGCAAGAGATTCCCAGTTTTCAGGGAAACTTGTTGGTGCCTGATCTACAGGAGCAACTGTTTGAAGACCTGTACATCCTCTCCTGAGGGAGGGTAACTACAACACAGCCAAGAAGGGCACAAGGTGTGGTGGGCACTGGGTGAGCTGACACTCTCCCCACGTGTATCATACACTGCTTGTGGTGTGAGGGGTGTAACTTGCTTGTTTGGAGCAGATCCTCCTGTCTTCTTCTACCTTCTCTGCTTCTCTGCCTCCCTCTGAACATCTTCCCTCCTCCTCCCCGTTGCGTACTTGCCAAGCGTCCTGTGGGGAGGCAACAAATCCACGGGGGTGAATGTGGAACGCTCACCCTCTCCCCATTAAAATTACATAAAACTAAATTAAAAACAAGAGATTACTTTCAAGAGGTCAAGGGCCTCCTGAGATGTCAGTGAATCTCCCTTTTTGGGCCCCGTGGCTCAGCCCTGGTTCTCACCTGCTCTGAGTAGTCATTGCCATCCACGTCGTCGCTGTTGGAATGACCTCCCGGACTCTGTACATCTATTCCATGGCTCTCCAGGATTGCTGCTTCTTCGAAAAAAGCAAATGGATCCCTAATTTATCTGATGCATTGGGGTAATTTAAAGTAACTAGGTGTTGTTTGTTTTTTTTCAAGGAGTTGGAATAACTGGAGGAATAGAGTTAGTTCTCAGCCTCTTCCTCTTCACTCTCCAGTATTTGGGAGCACGTGCACAAACACTGGTTAGCCTGAAATCCTTCCCTGCCAATTAACAGATTTCTTGGAGAGTGAGAATCCTTGTTTTCCAGCCAGTCCTACTAGAAATTAGCTTGATTTCTAATGTAAAGAATTCCCTGTAGCTCTTCCCACATACTTTGGACTGGCAGGACTTGAGGGGGGCAGGGAGTGTCTGCAAATAGACGGAGAAATTTCTGAAGGCACTTAAGGGATTTAAAAACAAACATATCCATCTTCCAGTAGGATCCAAGCATCTAAAGCTTCCTCTGGTTCTTTTCAATCTCTTTCCAGTCCTTCTGCCCAAACAGCACAGATACAACTCCCACTCCACCCACCTTGGACTAAGTTTGCTTTGTTCCCCTCCAGTCTCTTCTAGAAGCAATTTCTCATTTTAAAAAATAAATTAAAGTTAAATTTCATTAACATATTAAATCATGTAAAAAGTATTTTTTCTTATTCAGAAAAAAAGCAAAAATACAGAGCATTTGAAATAAATAAAAATCCTGGTAATAGGCAGGTATGGATCTCTGTTCATCCATGTGCTGCAAAAGTAACTCTGCATAAAGTAAGGGTATAAAGTTTGGCATAAATGGCAGGAGTTTGCTGAATCCTGGCCACTGAAATGAGTTTATTCTCCTTGGAATGTCTTTTACATATTAGAAGGTATCCTTCTTACAAGTTCAGAGTCACTTCCAATTTCCTTACAATCAACTCTTCACACTAAAAACCTGCAGGGTTCACTCTGAAGTGACTTTTGTTTTATCCTGATCATCAAGAAAAAAAAATTACTTTGTTCCAGCCACTTGTCACCGTGGAAAACCTTGGGAAGCTGGAGGGAGCAGAGGTATAACCAGAATAAACAGCATGGCAAGGCTGTGAACCCACCAACGTTTCAATCTCCCTTATTTACAATTTTGAGGTTTTATTTTAGATTTTCTGGATACCCAAAGGAGCCTGGGCATAGGGAAACACAACTCCAACAACAAACTTCTCACTTTGCTTTTTAAAGCTGATCTTCCAGTAAAACTTTGTAACAGCACCACTTTTCCTGCACTGATGCTGGGCTTCCACAAACTAAACTCCTGCACGTATTCCACAAAAAATCTGGAACAGCAAGGGGCTGATTTTCATAATTCCTCCACACTTCTAAAGAGACTGTCAGAACCTCCAGTGTTCCCACTAATATATTCTGATGTAATTGCCACCTCTCCTGAGCAAGTGCAGTCCCTGCAAAGAGGCTCTGTGATACATTACCGATATTGGCTCTTCTCTTGATCTCCTTCCTCCTGTTGGCAAACCAATTGTACACTTTGAGGGAGGTGACTCGCTCCAAATCCGACAACTTTTTTCCTAGGAAAGGAACAGGAATAAAAATAAAGACCCTCAGACATTTGCCCCCCATCCCTGGAAGTGCCCAAGGCCAGGTTGGAGGGGGCATGGAGCAACCTGGAAGAATGGAAGGTGTCCCTGCCCATGGCAGGGCATTGGAATGAGGTGTGCTTTTTAATGTCCCTTCCAACTCAAACCATTCTGTGATTCCAAGAGATAAATCCCTGAAACACAGACAGCACTGAAAAGTTATTGTAACTGAGAATAAAGTGAATTTTATGTGAATCAAAGTCCTGTGTGGCCAGGTGTTACGGCACTAAATGCCAAATATCTCCCTAAAAACAGAAGAGCCTTTCTTTTTTTTCTTTTTAAAATCTGAAATACAGGAATTTCTTTGAAGCTTCAACCAACTAAGTCCAGTGGTGTGGGAGAAGGGAGGGCTGCTTTTCTAGTTTGAGCATGAAACTGGGATTCCAAAACTCAAATTCAATTCACAGCCCTGCCACAAACCCCCTTCCCTTGGGCTCCTTCTCTTACTTTGTGCCACAAGGATACAGTTTAATGACATGTTTTCTTCAGTAGAAAAATGAACAGAGATTTTTTTTTGTCATCCCCCTGCAATCTGCTTTTCTTTCTCTCAACCCCCAGCACTCATCACACCCTCTCAGATGTGCCAGGACACTCGTGATCTTTTGGGAGAATGAGGGGTGGATGTTGGAAACCAGATCACTGGATTTTTACCCTTAAACCGGCAAAAAAATTCCCAACTACCCACGAGGGAGCTATGGAAAACTATTCCTTTTCTGGTTATCAGTATAAAAGAGGGGAGACTGGAGGGGTTCAGCATCACATCACAAAAACCTCTTCAGTTGGCCTTGTCCCTATATAAAATACTCCAGGTAGCTGCATCCTCAGTCCTCTGCAGGCTCCTTAGGGATGAGACTCCCCTGCTCCTGAGTCTTTCTCAAAGTTTATTTATTCAGCATACAAAGCACCTGTGTAATTGCAGCAATCTGCACACTTAAGTAAGTTAGGAGAGATGAGACAACTGAAAGAAAGAAAAATCTGGAAACTGATAGCTATGCTGGTACATCAGCACCACTGACAGTATTTCACTGCTCCTGAGACAGGACTGTGTTTCAGCAGCTTGTTCCAACCCACTCCACAAACCAAATCCTAACCCCTTTGGTGCTCTACCCAATAGATCTTTCTGCTCCCACAGCCAAAAGACATAAAAGCTGCAAGAAGGGAATTTTTCAATAGGTATTAGGAAAAAGTACTTTGCCATGAGAGTGCTCAACCTCGTGGAATAGGGGTCAGAGTCAGGAAAACCTCCAGTTTTGGAGATACTAAACTAGGTAAAGCCCTGAACAACCTTATAAGCTGGTCCTGCCTGACCAGATGACCTCCAGACATCATTTCCAGCCTAAACTGGTCTGATTCTGTGCTATCCTGGGACTGTCTCATCTCTCCATGACGACCTGAAAGGATAACGAGGTGGGGATCACTCTCTTCTCCCAGGTAACACGTGATGGGATGGGAGGAAACATCCTCAAGTTCCACCATGAGAGGTTTAGGTTGGATATTGGGAACTATTTCTTCATCAAAAGGGTTGTCCAGCCCTGGAACAGCTGCCCAGGGCAGGGGTGGAGTTCCCATCCCTGGAGGGATTTCAAAGCCGTGTGGATGTGGCACTTGGGGACACGGAGCAGGGGTGGCCTTGGCAGTGCTGGGGGATGGTTGGACTGGATGATCTCAGAGAGCTTTTCCATCCTAAATATTTCTGTGGGTTTATGTTCATGACTCAAGCTTTAGCTTTCCGTTCATTAATTTTTATTCTGGTTATATAAAATCTAAATATATCCAAAACACAAGGTCTGACATCTATGTAAATGTTTGGTTAGCAAACCTAAGCAAAGGCAGGTGCATCCACTAACACCACACTGAATATTCATACTCCTCTCCCAGTCTGACTTCTCCAGGAACAGGGAAAATGCAGCTTGTTGACCCAAATACAACGTCCTCAATTAATATCCACGTTCTAATCTGAGATCCCTGTCTGGAAGCTGTGAAGAAAATTGAAATCCAGGAGAGATGAGCTCCTTTCAAGGACCTGCTCTATCAGGTTGGGCTCGATGATCTTGGGAGGTCTTTTCCAACTCAATAATTTCATGTATGATCTCCTGCAAACATCAGTCTGAACCCAAGGTGTTGAAATCAAATTGCTTTTCGGGAAGGACACCAGGAGCAGCTCCTCACCTGGTTTCTGGATAACTGCATTACAGGCATTGGCAATTTCTTCTCTCTTTGCCTCGTCTGGATATTGATTCTCATTGAAGTAACTGCAAGGAGGGGAAAAAAACCAAGTTTTTTTCAGAAATCAGAGCGTGAAGGTTCCAAAGCAGCTCCACTAAAAGGTGTCAACTGCTAATTTATACACCAGTCTTAGAGAGGTACCAAAGATACAGTAAATTTTATGCATAAGGTAACATCAGCTTGCACTTGCATCCACGTGGAGTGGAGGAAACTTCCCAAATGCCTCAAATAAATTAATATTATCTCAGCATGTGCAGTGTCACCTCAACATATGGAGATAAAACAACTTAGACAATTCCATGGATATCAGATTTAAGACTATCCAATGAAGCATCATGTCTTAGACACCACAAACCATGGCTTTTGTTTATTATAATTTTATTTTTCCCCTGCCATACCCCAGCTTAGGTAGAAGGATTCACGAATATGGTGAAAATAAATGTTCACCATTTATTTCCATCCCTGGGTTAATAAATACACATCCATACATACTTATCTATATGTATGACCCACAAACACACAAATACTGCAATACTTCAGACAGCTACGGTGTGGAGATGGCACAAAATTACACAGGAAGATTTCCAGAGTCAGGTTATGTTTTTTAAAAAACCACGATTTAAAATTTTTAAATCTTCCTCAGAACACCACACTGAGTACATACAGCACATTTCCAACAGTATTTTCTTCCAGAATAATTGTGATTTTATTGTACTACATGTGCAGTAAACATCCCATAGAATTTAAAACTGTTTCCTCTTTCACTTCATTTAACTGCTTTACAAATTTTAATGAACTGATTTACATTCTACAGAGCTTATCAGATCTGCACTAAAAACAACAAAACATCCTGTTTACTTCAGTGGACTCTGATAATCACACCATAAGCAGGGACTACCACTGTTTTTTTCCTGTAGGTTATCCATAACACATAATCCTAGGGATTCTTTCATCAGCTTTGATCAGCAGCAGGTTCAGCTGTTGGACAGCTGCTCCAGATTGGAAAATCAGATATTTCCTTTAATTGTGGATCATTTGGTAGCAGGAGATTCAGGCATATTGAGGCAATTATTATATTCCATGCTCATATTTCTCCTCCAGTGGATTGGTCCCAGCCCAGTCACTTTCTATGGAAATCTGGATTCTGTTCCACACAGCAACTGCTTCTGTCCCACTTTCTGAACGCTCAGTTTGGATTTCAGGCACTGCTTCTTCATCCCACTGCTCCCAGGGTTATTTACACTCCCAGCTACCCCCACAAACAGGGGCCTATTCCTAAGATGCTACTCAGTGAGAATGAGAAAGCCCAGTGAGTTGCTGCATTAATGTAATTCCAGGGGATTTGCTGGTTTAGGGAGCAAATGGAACCACAGGAATAGTTCCACCTTCTCTAAATGAAGGGCAGGTCATGTCCATAGGACCCACATAGGCCTTGGAGGCAACACATTTCCACAGGAACACCCACTGCTCCTTCCCTGTACCTCTGAGCTGCTCTTGGGAAGGGAATTTGGAGGCACAGGTTGCCCAGAGAAGTTGTGGCTGCCCCTGGATCCCTGGAAGTGTCCAAGGCCAGGTTGAATGGGCTTGGAGTAAGTTGGGATAGTAGGAGGTGTCAGAGTTGGAACTGGATAAGCTTTAAGGTCCCCTCCAACCCAAACTATTCTGGGATTCTGTGATAAAGGACAACTGGAATCCATTTAGAGGGATTTTTATGGAAGCTGGGGATGTGATTCAGAGTGAACCCCCTTGTTTCCTAAACTCCTTCTCAGAGAGGAGTTGGATGAGGCTGGATCCAGTCTTAGGCTCTGGATCCAAGCTGGGAGATCTGGGGGTGTTCACCTGGAGATGAGAAGGATCCAGGGAGACCTTCCAGCACCTTTCAGTGCCTGAAGGGGCTTCAGGAGAGCTGGAGAGGGACTTGGGACAAGGGATGGAGGGACAGGACACAGGGGAATGACTTCCCACTGCCAGAGGGCAGGGATAGACGGGAGACTGGGGAGGAATTGTTGGCTGTGAGGGTGGGGAGGCCCCGGCACAGGTTGCCCAGAGAAGCTGTGGCTGCCCCACCCCTGGAAGTGTCCAAGGCCAGATTTGCTCTAAGGATTGGGAGTTTGATGAAGCTGTAAGAGTTGAGAGCTTGTCAGCCAGCATTTCTGAGACCTGGAGCTTGTTGTGGGAGTTGGGAACTTGTTAAAATTTTGTTAAAGTTATTTGTAAAGTTTGAGAACTTGCCAGTCAAGGCTTCTACTATTACAGAGTGGGACAGTGGCTGGAATTAAGGTGACTATCTAATAAAAGGATGAGTTCCCTGACACATGGACTGGTGTCTTTGTTCAACCAGATGAGAATTTGTAACAAACATCACACCCTCTGGACATGGTCATTTTTTAAACTACATTCTCCCCTTTTCCCTATCGATCATCCTTCCCTGATTTCAGCCTTTGAAGTGATGTGTGGGTCTATGTGAAAGTGCAAGTTTCTGTTCAAAGGGGTCATGTTCTGCACAAAGGTGCATTTTTTGGAGAATGAAGAACCTGGAAAACAGAGTAGAAAATGCTTTTTGCAGTAGTTAGTGATGGAACAGAAGCTCAGGATCCCAGTTCAACTATCTCATGACAGAATCTCAGCTCTCACACCTACAGAACACTCCACTCTCTGTCCAGAGCCAAGAATTATTTCCTCTTGGAACTGCTGTGGGATAAAGGAATATCAAGACATCACAGCTGAAAACTGCTGTACTATTATTTACATGAATATATTGTATGACCTCGACTCCTAATCAGGAATCCAGGTCAACACCATGTGTACAAAAATCAACTCAGTCCATTTTGGGAGCCATAACAGCAGTTTTATGGACTCCCTTTGCTGAACAGAGAAGCTGTGAAGTCTCCTTCTCTGGAGATGTTCAAACCCCACCTGGACATGATCCTGTGCAACCTGTTCTACTGAACCTGCTTTAGCAGGGAAACTGGGCCAGATGATTCCAGGGGTCCTTTTCAACCCCAACCATTTTACTTAGGGGTACCTGTCAAAAGCCAGGAACAAACACCACAAAGGAAACCCCATAAAATTAGAAAACATGATGGATCTACACAAAGATGCCCTAAAAACAGAAGGTGAAGCCCTGATATCATCTGATATTATGGCTCGAGATCATCATTTATGGTCACAAAGCTGCTGGACAATGCCTAATATTTATGGGAAAAAAATTACAAAATACATAAAATTAAGAATCAGTTTCTACTTGAACTGCCCTTTCTTGTGTTGATGCAAGAACGTGAGACATCAATTAACGCAGCAAAGACAACACAAGAGCCAAGAGTGATCCTTCTCTTGGCACTATAACTCAACACTGTCCCTTTTGCAAGCCACAGCCAGGCTTTCCCTGACTCCAGCAAAGCAGCTCATGTTTTCCAACCACAACAAAACTTAGGCTCACACTTACAGATTCTCTGGGACAATAGGAAATCTCCCTGTGATGGAACTAAATTCCAGAACTGGGCAATGAATGAGGCACCTCTGCTGGCAAACAAGGAAGTTTTGTGCAGTCCAATCATTTTTTTTGATTTAGAAACCACTGAAAACAGTAATTCTTACCTCTAAACATTTTACAACTGAAGCAAAACTTATTTGATTAGATCAAGACGTATTTTTTGGTATTCCGAAACATCTTCTTCAAATTCTAACACAAATTTCTTAACTAAATGTTTTTACAAGAAAAATGACTCCCACTTAAAAATCTGAATTTTTTTTTCATCCTAGATCCCTGTTCTAAAAAAAAAATTGAGAAGTTTTCAGGCAGCTCCTGTGGCCAGGAAGGTGTTTTCACAGAGATCACAAAACCAAGTGGGTACCAGAACAGAGCTGGAAAGGCACCTTTAAGAATGGTTTGGGTGGGAAGGGACCTTAAAATTCATCCTGTTCCACCCCCTGCCATGGGCAGGGACACCTTCCACTAGCCCAGGTTGCTCCAAGCCCCGTCCAACGTGGCCTTGGACACTTCCAGGGATGGGGCAGCCACAGCTTCTCTGGGAAATCTGTGCCAGGGCCTCCCCACCCTCCCAGGGAAGAATCTCTTCCTAATCTAACCTAAATTATTAAGGTTATAATATTTTTCTCCATGACCATATCGTGCTTTTAACCTCTGATGGGGTGCAAGCTGCTTTACCAGAGATCACACTCAGGAGCTCCCACTCTTAAAGGAAAAGGTCTCACAGCTACAGGTAACCAAAAATATACAACCCTCAGCCCCAATTGCTGATTTGCAGCCTCAGCCCCCAAATTCCCTGCACACCCACCTACCAAAGCATCCCAGTTCATTCCCATCCCTTCCAGGTCTTAATGGGTCTTGTGGGTGATCCATCAGGAAACAAAGCACAACATTTAAAACCTCTCAACATGTGGCACTTGAGGACATGGTTTAGTGAGGAACATGATGCTGGGCTGATGGTTAGACTTGATCTTAAAGGTCTTTTCCAGCCTTAACAATTCTATGGTTCTATGATCTTACAATTTCTGGAAAGTAGGAGAGAATAACTGAGTTTTCAAGATAGAAAAGTCATGGAAAAAAAAATGCAAGACTTCATCACTGACTATTCTGTTTGCTCATGTAGAGGCTGTGAAAACACTGTGATTTTTTTGACTACAGTTCTTCTTGCAAGCAGTAAATTAATTAATCTGCCTCCAGTTCTCTTTCTTATCAGCCAGGTAGACAGGGGAAGAATGTAGGATGTCTGAATTTCTCTTCACAGTTACAAACCTCAGCCTGCTCACAGTCTGAAAAGTTCCTGAAAGCTACAGATGAAAAATTTGAAGAGATATGAACTTAAAAGGAAGGGAAAAAAAGAGCAGGCACAAGTAACTCTGCAAAGGCACACTGCTTTCTAGACAAAGGGCATCTGTCAGCTGAATACCTTCCATGAAGAAACCAAATGATCTCTTTTGTAGAAAATGACAGTGGAGGATTAAAATGAAAAGTGGCCAAATAATTTACATGAGATGAGAATCCAGATGATGGTAAAGAATG